TCACCCAGAAAGTATAGGAGAAAAAAAAAAGCAATGGACCAAATTTGTGGAGTAAGATGTATACTTATTAGTTCGCTGAGAGAAATAACAAAAGAGGTGTTGGTAAGTATAGAAACGTAAGGGTTGTTCTTCAAGGCGAATGACTATTGTACTCTCTGGAATGTTTAAAAGCAGGAAATATAATCTTAGGATTTGTCTCTCCCAATATTCCCCATGACCCTCACTTTTTCTACAAAACTCTCTCTCTCTCCTTCTCTCTCTCTCACACACACACACATACACACACACACACACACACACACACACACACACACACACACACAAACAGGACAGGCGGAATGTACAAAAAATAATAGTCAAATACGCATAAAGTAGTTAAATTGTGAATAGTCAACCTGTCCACAACAATAGTCACAACAGACAAAAGACTGACACACAAATTCAAAAAAATCAGGAGCACCTCTGACATTTACGCTACACTCTTACTTACCATGTATACAACTTTTCACAAGGGACAAACATCTTCAAAAGCTGTTAGAATTCCAACAAAATATTGACCATATTTCACATTGAAAAAAAATAGCAAATTCCTGTATTAATTTATTATCTTTCTCAATCTAACATAAAACGTGCTTAAAAAGACTTCTCTAATATATATCTGTTTTGAATGAAAAGGAAAAATGTGACATAAAAATGAAAGTCAGCAAAAGTCAGAAAAAAACCCAACAAAAAACAAACCAACAAGAACAAAATAATCTGAAATATTACTGCATTACTAAAGAAGTTTGAATGAAATGAATATAATGTTTGCCATTTAACAAATCATACATAGAAAGCAGTCATAGAAACAGATTTCCAGCAGTTTGAAAGCAATCATAGATCACTGAAAAAAGTCAATGTTGGTAATTTGACCCCAAGGACAGTGCCCGCTTTTTTTGTCAGTTGCATCATGTTCTTCCCTAAACATCACAAATACACCAGTCTCTGCTGTAGCTGTTGGGCACTTCTCTGTCGCAGGCGGAAGATGTGAGTTCAATTTGGGTGCAGTTAGTTTGTTTTTTTAATCGAGTACTGTCGCCTTACAGCTGGGACATTGTACACCTCTCAGCCCAGGTTAGCCCCAACAGGCAGATTCAAAGCAAAGTGGGGTGGGGGGGGGGGGACATCGACAGTTTCAATTACAAACACAAAACACACTCCGATAGAGAACAGTCCTATGAAAAGTAGATCTACAGCTCAAGTAACTGGGAACAGCAGGGGTATGCTAAATGCTTTTCTCTCAATTTGAAACTTAACCACAACCATCACAACGCAGTCTGTGCCATTTTTCCAGTTAACGGGCCTTCATCGATGGAGCTTAGACACAGTCAGTTTCATAGAGCATGCTGTGCTGTCAATGACATTTCAAATTTCACAGATTGTACGGCTCTCATGGCTCTGTACTGAGACATGATACAGCAGCAACACTTTTCTTAGCAAGGGCAGTTAGGAATTTCATCAGCTTGAGGCCTGAAATGCATCTCTTTTCATGACATAAATAAATTATGACAACTAAAAAGTCACTGACTCGCAAAAATACCTGCAACCCATTATAACACAAAATTTCATTACAACAACCAATAAAAAGGGAAAAAAGAGTGAATTGTGCATTCCTCAATCTCTCAGGTTCTCAAGCCCAACACTCAACTGACACAGACACAAACATCATAATCTAAAAAAATCAGAGCCTAAAATTTTCTGACCCCATTAATAAAAAATAAAAAATTAGGCCTTTGGCCTTTGTGAATAGTGAGGTTAGTTTGAATCTAATCACAGTCTAGTCTAGAAATCTAGTCAGTCAAGCATAATCAGGAGCTTCGAGTTGAAGTGTCTAGCTTTCTGAAAAGTTTTGGCCATGCCATAATCGAGAAAAACTAGCAATCTGACAAGACACAAAAGAGAGCGGTATTTTTATAGCACAATTGGGCACAACTTATGTTGACTACTTTGTTGATGGCTTTTAGGTTTTAGGGCGTGTTATCAACGAATGATATTCAAAACCGCCACAAATGTTCCGTTTGCAAGTTATTAGAACCTATTATAATTCAATTATATATTTTTAACAAACTTAGAGTAAGATTAATATAATACTGGGAAAAGCAATGTGATTGCACGGCGATTCACGTGTCATAGACTGTGCGCTCGCACCATCTAACCTTTTTGAATGCGCATGAGTACACGACTTCTAACCTTTAGCACATTTAATTGTTGCAAATGCGCATTTGACGGTGTCTGCTACACTTTTTTACGTCATTTCCCTCTTTAAGTTTGAAATCTTCTAGTCTAAAACCATCATCCTCGTTCTGCTCCTCATCTGGGTTGGGTTATGTCATGTCATGGATTCATGTCAGTCGTGCACCTTCAATTATTTGTCAGCCATCTCAAGACAACTCTAGAAAAGCCATGATTTTTTTCATTTGCTTGGTGTTTTGTTGAAGGAGGTAGTGTGCCCGAAGTGTAATATGCAGTGCACATTTCATAAGGAAGGCCTAAGTGTTCATGGCGCTACAGGAACAGTTTTGTGATTCCTAAGACAAAAAAGAGGAGGCATTGTGGTTTCAGAGTTTCCAAAAACAAGGGTTCTTTCTTGGACAGATCAAATTTGGAAGAGCAGCGTGTGTGTAAAGTTACCGAAAACAGGCCTTGCGCCCTCGTGGCACGCAGTCACGGAGACCAAAACACAAACATACTTTCACCTTCCTAAAACACTGTGTGATCATCATCATGCATACACATAGACACTTGATATAACAGAAGAAAGAGGAGCATTTCTCTTTTTAGAGGTACTATTTATTTGAATCAACGATTCTTTTGAAAGCAAAATCTTGTGGGATAAATGACACCATCGAGGTTTTCAATGCAGGCAAAAGTAGTAATAATTTTTTTTTAAACATCTTCACACGTTCACATGGCAGATTATCAGTTTCAGAATGGCTATGGTCCGTATGGAACGGAAAGGCAAATTTCCAAAGAGCGCCCTCCAGTGGTGTTTTTTTTTATCTGATCTTCTTTCATTTCGCCTTTAAAACCTTTAGAACATGAACCCAATTGAGGTTCCTGACATTTAGGTGTTGATTTGCAGTGATGTTAATGGTCAAATTCATTTCTTTATACACCAAAAAACTTTAACAAATTTAAACTTTATAATTATGCCTCTTTGCGAGGGGTCCAATACCAGTCCAACAGGCCTCTGCAAAATTACCAAGACCAAGATCAGTCCATGATTACCATGAACTAAAATCTAGACTCTAGATTTTCAACAAGGATCTAGATCTAGATTCTAGATCTAGATTCTAGACCTAGAATAAAGTGAAGAGAATAAGTTGTTGGTGTAAATATTGTTTGTAGTGGTATGAGGTCATGGACAGATGATCATGAAGCTGGAGGTGTTGGTGGCTTACGTGACTGAGAGGAGACACAAATGTCGCTCGTCCGAAACACAGTAGAACGGTCACGAATAACAGAGTAGAACAATGTGAAAAATTTTCAAGAGACAAGCAGCTTAAATATCCATCTGAACAGAGAATAAAACAAACTTACCAGTAAAACAAAACAAAGTCACAATCACTCGTCACAGGGACTGCAGTGCCTCGGTAAAAGACAGCTGATTGTTTGCACTTTGCACGTCCGCAATATCGGCCTCAGCAGCCTGGAAAATACAATCGGAGTTAGTTACCTTGTTTCGTAACTTTACATGACGTCATCGAAATCCATTTTACAACAGGGAGCATACATTGTTTTAAACAGTGAAACGTTAATCACGCTAATAATATAATGAGTTATAATTTGTTATAAGAAAAAAAGAAAATTGTTATTAATGAAAAGGAAATATTTCTATTCGAAAAAGTATTTTTTATTAAAACTCTGACCAGCACACCATGCTTACTTTCCGTCTTTTGTAAACAAACTCAACGCTGCAGACTCCACAGGCCTGGTATTGACTCATTGAAAATGATAATAAATATAAACGTGTAGGCAACGTGTACTACCAATACTGTCGACCTATGACCTATGTTCTTGTTATAATTTATGATTATTATTATGCCTTAGTCATTTAATCCCACACCTTTGTAAAGCTAGTAATGAAATGCATCTTAATCAAACACTCCGTCAATAGTACTGCAAAGCAGGAATCACGTACAGTGTTAAATTAACTTTGAAGCCCACCCATTCACATAATAATAATTAGGCCTATGGCCTCGTCACTGCTCACGAATGACACTTTTTTGTGGCAAGACTTTAGCCCACCTATAAATGCGATCTCTTGATAAATGACAAGTGAAATTTGCACATGATTCCTGCTCCTACTTTATAAAGTCTGATGAAGTGCGGCAAAGTGGTGAGGGGGGATCGTAGACATGCGATGTTTCTAGATCAGATGCCGTCATTAGAGAACTTGACTTTATTAGACATTAGGCTAGATAAAAAAAATTGTTCTCAAAACATGCGTTCAATGTACATGTGTGTTTCGATTAGAGAATGGACAGAGCTTTTCTTTTTAAAGTGCTAATGTCCCAGCTCATGGGATGCAAACCTCTTTGAATCAGGAGAAATCACCCGCCATGGTGCACAGGGTTTGTTTTAAAAAAATTATTTATTACATTTATTAGGGAATTTTTTTTAGAATACAGCAAACATGGTATTTAAAAAAAATATTTGATCTGTTAAATCGATACAAGCCATTGTATAAGTTGGAGCATCTAAGTTCGATAGCCTAAGGAGATATTTGACATTTGACAATGCGTTGCGTAACAAATTTTTGGCCGCATTTTCATAGAAGACTTTTATTCGAACCCTTCTGCTATCTTGGTAGCATAATTGACTGTTAAGAAAGGAGCGGGGGCTGAAATTTAAGTCCTGCATTTGAAAGGCACAGACTACCTTCGAATCCTTAAATATGTGACATGAATTAAACACACCTCAGACTTGCATAAAGAGGATCCGGATTTTCTTGAAAAGTGAATGAGAAAGTTCCCCAGGATCAAATTATGGACAGACAGAGACACCAACGAACAAGACAGAGCTTAATCGGAGGTGGATTCAGAAGAAGGCGGTGTCGATTGACTGGACACTTAGGCTATCTGACTCAGATAACCTAGACTGGACATAATAATAAAATATACTCGCAGGAAGGCATCCAGCAGGCAGCTGCATTACAAAGAATCCACAGGGTAAGAGAAATGGTACGGGTTCAACGCCTCTATCAACACTATATTAGTCTATAAGGTTATTGAAGAGGTCATATGGGACCTCCAAGTTTAATGTCCATCCCCGAAAGGACTGAGACAAGTGGGAAATCCTTTTTAAGTCCCTTTCCCAGAGACAACGTACGTCGGACCGAGCTGAGGCTCTAATCCCCGAACCCGCAAACCTCACGATTACGAGTCCGGTAGCCTAACAACAAGGCTACCGACGCCACTGCCAGCGAAACAGATCAAGGGGAAGGCCACATGGAATCAGGAGAAAAGTCACAGGGAATGATAATATACAAAAAAGTTGGAAAACATTATGGAGTAATGTCAAGAGCCTAACCCAGGATAGGGTAAGGTCGAAAGTGTTCACTTAAGACCGTCACCGCTGATAAAGGATGAGTAAGGCAGTGATGATGTGATTACTTATTTCTTTGCTTCACCTCTTTCTTTCCCTCTGACCC